AACATCATCAGAGACCTTTAAGAGATTATGCTAATCCTACAGTAGCTAAAATTCATTTAAGTATGCAAAACCCTGTTGTAGCTGTTAATTCATTTGACCTTAAATCTGCTATTATCCAAATGGTACAAAATAATTAGTTTGGGGGAAAACTGATTGAAGATCCTAACTTACATCTTGCTAGTTTTCTAGAATTGTGTGCTACATTTAAATATGATGGAGTATCGAATGATGCTGTCAGGCTTAGAATTTTTTCCTTTTTTATTAAATGATAAAGCTAAGATATGGTTAAACTCGTTAGCACCTGGATCAATTAGAACTTGGGGAGATTTATCAGAAAAATTTTTATTTAAATATTTCCCATCATCAAAACTACTAAGCTTAGAAATGATATCACATCTTTCTATTAGTTTGATGGAGAATCAATTTATAAAGCTTGAGAAAGATTTAAAGATCTCCTTTGAAAGCATCCACACAATGCATTACCAGATTGGTTAATAATTCAAACCTTTTATATTGGATCAGTTGGATCTCTTAGATCTATAATTGACGCTGCTAATGGTGGATCATTAAATTCAAAACCATTTGATGAGGTATATTCCTTAATTGAAGAGATGGTTACTAATAATTTTTAATAGCCCTCTGAAAGGGTAAATCCAAAAAAAGTAGCGCAAAACCCTGTTGTAGCTGTTAATTCATTTGACCTTAAATCTGCTATTATCCAAATGGTACAAAATAATTAGTTTGGGGGAAAACTGATTGAAGATCCTAACTTACATCTTGCTAGTTTTCTAGAATTGTGTGCTACATTTAAATATGATGGAGTATCGAATGATGCTGTCAGGCTTAGAATTTTTTCCTTTTTTATTAAATGATAAAGCTAAGATATGGTTAAACTCGTTAGCACCTGGATCAATTAGAACTTGGGGAGATTTATCAGAAAAATTTTTATTTAAATATTTCCCATCATCAAAACTACTAAGCTTAGAAATGATATCACATCTTTCTATTAGTTTGATGGAGAATCAATTTATAAAGCTTGAGAAAGATTTAAAGATCTCCTTTGAAAGCATCCACACAATGCATTACCAGATTGGTTAATAATTCAAACCTTTTATATTGGATCAGTTGGATCTCTTAGATCTATAATTGACGCTGCTAATGGTGGATCATTAAATTCAAAACCATTTGATGAGGTATATTCCTTAATTGAAGAGATGGTTACTAATAATTTTTAATAGCCCTCTGAAAGGGTAAATCCAAAAAAAGTAGCTAGTATTCATAATTTTGATGCAATATCTGTGTTGGCTGCTCAAATTGTTGTAATATCAAAGAGAATATATTAATATAAAATTAATTATACATAGACACCTCCTGTGCTTGAGCAAAATTCATTGGGAAAAATGATAGATTATTAATCTTCATATGAAACTTTAAATGCAATAAACAAATGATCTAATAATTCTTATTCCAATTATTATTATCCTAGTTAGAAAAATTATCCTAATTTCAATAGGAGTAACAATAACTCAAATGCTATAAATTTGTAATGGGGGAACAATGCTGCAAACCCATAGGGAAACTCCAACAATCAGGAAAATTCTAATTATAGACCTTTTTACTCTTTAGGTTTCAATAGTAATTCACAGAGTAAGGAGAAAAAAATTATCAATGGAAGAATTAATATTGCAAATGGGAGCACAATTATAAATTCATGGAACACAATTACAACATTAAGGATCTGCAATTAGAAACATGAAAAATCAATTGAGATGTATTGCTACTGCACATAACAATAGACCTCTAGGAAGTTTGCCTAGTAATATTGAAGTTAATCTTAAAAATCAGAACAAAGAGAAAATCAAGTCTATTCAACTGAGAAGTGGAAAAGAATTGGAAACAAAAGTTGAAAAAGAAATTAAAGTTAAAATTGAGAAAGAAGGGGTGAAAAATGAAAATTCTAATGTAGATTTTCATTTTGAGTCAGAATATCCTATCAAACAAATGAAAATTACTGTAAAAAAAACCGCCAACTTTATTTCCTCAAAGATTGAAGAAGTATAACAGAGATAACTAATTTACCAAATTTTTGGAAATATTGAGGAAATTGATGATAAACATTCTATTTGCTTAAACCCTGTAACAAATGCCAAGCTATGTGAATTTTATGAAGGATATACTTAATAAAAATGGTAGTTTACAAATAATGAGACTGTTGCACTTAGTGAAGAGTGTAGCGCAATAATTCAGAAAAAGCTTCTTGGAAAACTTAAAGATACTGATAGGCTTACTATTCCTTGCACTATTGGCAAAAAATTTTTTGGAAAAGCTTTATCTGATTTTGGAGCCAGTATTAATCATATGCCTCTATCGATTTTAAGAAGGTTAGGTTTAGGAGAAATTTCACCTACTACTGTAACTCTTCAATTAGTTGACCGTTTAATTAACTATCCTAATAGAGTTATAAAAGATGTCTTGTTGAAAGTTGATACATTGAAAAGCTTTGATATGGAGGAAGATAAAGAAATTCCTATCAATTTAGGAAGACCATTTCTTTCCACTGGAAGAGCTTTAATAGATGTGCAGAAAGGACATTTGACAATGAGAGTCAGTGATCAAGAAGTTACATTTAATATTGCAAAATTAATGAGATACCCAGCAAAAGGAAGAGAAGATGAATGCTTCAAAATAGAAATTAATGATTATTTAAGCAATGAATATTTCACAGATACATTGAAAAGAAAACTAAAGAAGAATATTTGGAGTATGAGAATGAGGACATAATTCAAGATAAATCAATGAAAGTGAGTAATGAAGAATTGGATTATGTTCATGAATAATTTGAACTGTTAGATCCTATGGATAATAATAAAAATTTAATTTCTTTGATTATAAAACCTCCTGAACAAGAAATGAAAGCACTTCCTACACATTTAAAATATGCCTTTTTATGAGTTTTATCTACATTAAATGCTTTCGTATCCTCATAATTAACTGAAACACAAGAGTAAAAGCTGTTGGGAACCCTAACAAGATAAAAGAAAGCCTTTGGATGGACATTAGCTAATATTAAAGGAATCATTCCTTCGATTTGTATGCACCAAATTTTATTGGAAGAACATCAAGAACCAAAAAATAATCCTCAAATGAGATTAAACCTTATTTTAAAGAAGTTGTTTAAAAAAAGATTTTAAGATGGTTAGATACTGGAATAATATATCCTATTTCAGACAATGCTTGGGGGAGTCAAATTCACTGTTTTTCTAAGAAAGGGGGTGTGATTGTTGTGACAAATGAGAATAATGAATTAATACCAGCAAGGCAAGTCACTGGTTGGCAAATCTGCTTTAATTTTAGAAAATTAAATTCAGGCACTTTAAGACACTAGGAAAGATCACTTTCCTTTGCCCCTTTTGGACCAAATGTTGGATAGACTAGCTGAGCACAAATATTTTTTCTTCTTAGATGAGTATACCGGGTATCATCCAATACCAATTACTTTGTAGGATCAAGAGAAGACAACATTTACTAGTCCTTATGGTACTTTTGCTTTTGAAAAAAGCCCTTGGGTTTATTTAATGCACCTACAACATTTCAAAGATGTATGATGTCAGTTTTCAATGATTTGATTGAAAAAGTGATAGAAGTCTTTATGGACGATTTTTCTGGATTTGGAACTTCATTTGAAATAAAAAGATATCTAAATTATTTAGAGAAAGTTCTAGAATGATGTGAAAAGATAACTTTAGTATTAAATCGAGAAAAATGTCAATTCATGGTTGCAGGAGGAATTTTACTTGACATGGAGGTAGATCCGCCAAAAATTCAAGTTATAGCTAACCTACCTCCACCTATTACTATAAGGAGTTAGAAGTTTTTTAGGACATGCTGGTTTTTACAGGCAGTATATTAAAGATTTTTTAAAAATTACAAAGCCTTTATGCCAACTTCTGAAAAATAATATAGGATTTGATTTTAATCAAGAGTGCCTTAATGCCCTTAAGACATTGAAAGAAAAATTAATCACTACTCCTATAATTGTTTTACCTTATTGGGAGAAACCATTCAAACTAATGTGTGATGCATGTGATTATGCAATTGGAGCTATTTTAGGGCAGATGAATGAAAAAAATTCTAAAGTTATATATTATGCTAGTAAAACTTTAAATGACACTCAAATTAATTATATCACTACTGAAAGAGAGTTATTAGCTATTGTTTATGCTTTTGACAAATTTAGGTCATATCTGATGGGAGCTAATTGTGTTGTGCATAAAGAACACTCTAAAATAAAATTTTTGATGCAAAATGAGGATGCAAAACCAAGATTAATTAGATGGGTACTTCTGATGCAAGAATTCAATTTAGTGGTGGTAGATATGAAATGATCTGATAATCAAATAGCTGATCATTTATCTAGCTGGAAGAATTAGAAACATTTGACATCAAAAGAGAAATTAATGGAACTTTTCCTGATGAACAACTTTATACTGTTAAAGAATGGGAAATGTTATGGTATGTTGATATTGTGAAGTACATTGTTAGTGATATTTTATCATATTGATTGACAAAGCAATAGGAAAAAATAATTATGCTTGATGCTAAATTTTACTTTTGGGATGAACCATATTTTTACGAATAATGTAAAGATTTAGTTGTGCAAAGATGTGTGCCTTATAAGGGAATTGAAGAAATCATTCAAAAATGTCATGATTCTGAATTTGTGGGTCATTTTGGGATTGATCAAACTATTTACAAAATTTTACACCCTGGATTTTTTTGGCCTACTCTATTTAGTGATGTTAGTATTTATATACAAACATAATAGTGATGTCAGCGAGTAGGAAATATTTCAAAAAGAAATGAAATACCCCTAAAGTTTAATTTGGAAGTTAAAATATTTGATGCTTGGGGATTAGATCTTATGGGATCATTTAAACCATCATTTGGAAACATATATATATATATATATATATATTTCTTTCTGTTGATTATATGTCCAAATGTGGAGATTCTTCACTGCTAGCTGGTAAGTTGGAAGTGGAGGAGTGGTTTTTGCTCTTTGGGAACTTGTTTGGAGCCTCTTTTACTTTGGGCTCTCCATTTTGTTGAGTTTTTTGGTTTCACAGGTTTTGGTTTTTTGAATTTGGAAGCACTGTTCCATTAAGTGGTGTTTGTTTCTTTGGTTGGGGCTGCTATGTTCTTACTTTTGGATTTTCTGTTTTGTACTGTTTCATTGCTTGTGGGGGTGGCCTGTTGTGCTGCTCTCATCATGGTTGAGGGTTTCTTTATTTATTTGGAAACTAATGCTCAATGATCTAACACTTATGCTGGGGTGGTGGGAAGAGGTCAAAATGCTCCTGCTGATGCTGAAGGCCTGATTTTCCCCCAAGCCTTTCATGAAGCTGCCTTGGGGAAAGAAACTTGTCATCTCATTAATCCCCTCTGTGTTAAGGAAGGGTAACCTGCCATCTTCTATCAATAAGAGGAACTAAACTATTTAAAAGCTGATTGTAAATTTATGATGATTGGCAAGTTCCAACTAGGCCACCCTAGGATGGAGCTGGTAAGATGGTTCTTTAAAAACTTTCCTTTCACTGGTGCTTGGTAGATTGGCCTGATTGATGGAAAACACATTATAATAAAGCTAGCATTGGAAGAAGACTATGCCGGGTTATTTGCTCAACAATCTGTCCTTACGAAAGGAGTCTCAATGAAGATTATTAAGTGGACTCCAAATTTTGATCCCAGCAAAGAGCCTCCCATTGTGCCAATTTGGTTTAAGTTATCCGGATTGCCTCTCCGAATTGCCTCTATATATTTTCAACCATAAAGTGCTTTTTAATATTGGGCTGGCTTTGGGCAGACCTCTAAAAATGGATTTCCTTACTTTCCACATGTCCAGGCCTTTAGTGGCAAGAATATTAGTTGAGAGGGACATCACCTTGCCTGAGGTGAATGACATTTGGCTGGGGACTGTGGAAGAGGGAAACTAGCAAAAAATTGTGATGGAGCAGAAGCCTTATTACTGCCCTCATTTTAGAATGTTTGAACACACTTAAGATAGATGTTATAGGCTGCATCCACCATCTAAAAACAAAACCAAAGACTCTGGCCAAGGAATTTCTATTACTGCAGCTGAAAAACAACTGGTCACTGATAATAATGAGAAGGGGGCTTCAAGATATGTGGACCTTCAGTAACCTACTCATAGAGAACCTGTGGTGACTACTATCCCTCATGAACCCAATAACACAATTGATCTTACAATTGAGATAAGCAGTTTACTTACTGAGTTGCATGAGGAAGATATCTCCAACTCCCAGCCAAACCAACTACTGATGGAGGACTGTTCCCTCCCCACAGAAACTATGATTCATTCCTCAAGAGTACTACAAGAAATGAACTTGGCTCTGGACCAGGATTGGCAAATTCAAAAAGAAAAAAAAAGATGAATATGAATACTGAACTGCACAAACTTTTGGAAGGCACTTCCAATGCTCTTAGCATCCCTATAAGACTGGATTCCCCTTCTAGAGCCAGGAGTGGAAGGAGAAGATCCAAATCACAACCAACCTCTCATGGTTAAATTACTTTGTTATAATCTTTGGGGGATGGCTCACCCTTTCCCTTAAAAGATTATCACACCTTAATAAAAAAACATCAACTGTGGTGCTTATCTATCTTAGAATCTTTAGTTCACAAAAACCCCCAAATGCTGATTAATAAGTTTCAAGAATTCTCTCAATTCTCCAATATCAACTACAAGATTTGGCTATTTTTCAGAAAAGAGTTAAATTGGACTGTTTTACTGGACCGTCCTCAACTGTTCCATATTTCTTTCAGCATGAATGGGATGTCTGGTTATGTTACTTTTGTTTATGCTAGGTGTAACAAAGCCTCCAGAACTGAATTGTGGTCTGTTCTCCATTCTATTTATTCTAATATGACAGATAAATGGATGGTGGGGCGAGACTTCAATTGTATTGCCATTTCTGTTGAGAAGATTGGTGGGAGATCCCTAAACATCTCCAAGCTATTCAACTTCAGTGACAATATTCAGGCAGCACATTTGTTTGACCTTGGCTTCAATGGCCCTCCTTTTACTTGGAAATGGGGAAAAATTTGGGAAAGGCTGAACAAGTTCTTGGTGAATGACTGTTAGCTTAACAATTTTCTGCACACTTCTGTAACCCACTTGAGTATGGCTGGTTCTGACCATAGGCCTTTGCGGATTTCTATTGATGCACCTCCCTCATAACCATTCAGTCCTCCTTTCAGATACCTTAACATTTGGTTTGATCATCCTTCCTTCACTGAGTTTTTTGCACAACAATGGAAGGGGATCTACCATGAAGACCGTCTCATCAAACTTTGGCCCCTTCATCTCAAAATCAGCAAAGCTCTTAGAACCTGGGGCTGGAATACCTTTGGGAACATTTTACTGAATGTTGAGATGGCTAAAAGGGAGGTAAAGACCACTAAAGCTGTTGTTATCAATCTTGAAGCTGATAAAAGCTCTCTGATCACTGCACAAGAAAAATTACTCACTGCAATTGACTGACAGGAATCATTTCTTAGCCAAAAAGCTGCTATAAAAAAATTCAAAGATAAGAATAGAAACACCAAGTTTTGTCATGCTTATATTAAATATAAAAGAAAATGTAACACCATTCATGGTATTCAGGATGTTGAGGGCAATTAGATCTCAGATAATGAAGCCATTGCTGAGAACACTGTTCATTTTTTCCATAAGCTTCTGCCCAACCTCTGGCTGAAAGAACTTCTATAGATGCCAGTCTCTTTATAGTTGATCACTCTTATACCAATGGCCTTCATCTAACTCATATACCTGAGGAAACTAAAATCTGGAAGACATTACAATCCATTAACAGTGTAAAGACTACCGGGCCTTATGGATTTACTGTTGACTTTTACAAGAAAGCCTGGAATATAATCAAACAAGCCCTCATCAGGGGTACTCAAGTTTCTTCCAAGGACATCAGATCCCACAGCATTTCTATGCATCATGCTTGGTGCTCAGTCCTAAACAAGCTGAGAGAAAACCAGGAACCAGTTTAGGCCCGTCAGTTTAATCCCAATCTTCTTCAAAATTATCAGCAAGATCATGGTGGCCAGACTCCAACCTCACCTTGGGAGACTTATTAGCCCAAATAAGTCTGCCTTTATTAAGGGTAGAAGAATTGCTGAAAATTTTTTATTAGCTCAAGAACTGCTGCTTGACCTAGATAAAACCTGTAGAGGAGGAAATGTGATATACAAGTTGAATATCTAGAAAGCTTATGATAGTATTGGGTGGGAGTTCATCATAGAGATTCTAAAGAGAGATTCTAAAGGAGATTCTAAAGGTTAGAGGCTTCAATAAGGATTTATGTGATCTTATTGCAAGATGGCTCAAATACAATCAACACTCCATCCTAATTAATGACCAAGCTTGGGGCCATTTCACTGCCACCAGGGGGCTTCCACAAGGGGATCCTCTTTCTCCTACAATCTTCATACTATCTTTGGACTATCTTTCCAGAATGCTAGACAGTTGTCTCCTTTCCAACTCCTATGCCAGGTACGATCACATATCTAATATTGCTTTATCCCACCTGGTTTATGTTGATGATATTATGATCTTTTCAAGAGCTAATAAAAATGCAGTTAAGAAAGTTACTATTACGTTACTAGGTGTCTTAAGCTCTGTCAACAACACTCTGGAATGCTCTTCAACAATGGTAAATGTAATGTTATCTTCAGTAGGAACACTTCTTCCAATATCAAATATTGGATACTTGATCATACAAAATTTTCTGAAGCCTCCTCTCCTCTTAGATATCTAGGAGCTCCTCTCACTAAAGGAAGGGTGAAACAAACTCAACTTCATGAAGTCCTGGGGAAGATTTCTGATCAACTATCCAACTAAACTTTCTTCTTTCTATCTAGTGGAGGTAGAATTACTCTTCTAAAGAGCATCCTTACTACTTTTCCCTCCTATCTTCTACAGATGAAATCAATGAAGAAGAGCTCTCAACTACAAATGGAAAAATTTTTCAATAGGTTTCTTTGGACTGGCAGTAGACAACAACTTCATTGGGCTAGTTGGCAGAAGGTTGCCAAACCTTTAACTGCTGGTGTACTGGGGTTTTAAGGTATGAAATAACTGCAACAGGTGAACTTCTATAAAATCTGGATCAAGTTTAGACAACAGGATTCTTTATGGGCTAAGTTCATGAGGGGAAAGTATTGTAAAGCTGCTCACCCCAATCTAATTAACAAAAAGATTAGGGACTCTAAAACTTGGACCAACATGATGAATCTAAGGGACTTGGCTGAAAACCTCTTCCTATGGGACCTGGACAAAGGCAATGTTCATTTTGGGTTGGATCATTGGTGCCCAAAGAGATGTCGGAACATTCCTCTACTGATATAATTCTAAACCTAAGAGTTGTTGACTGCTGGGAGGGAGTTCATTGGTCTTTTGATACACTCCACTCTTTGTTGTAGGACTCTTCTGCTTTGAACATCTCTAAGGTGCATTTTGACAAAAACAAACAAGATAGGATTAAATGGACACACAACACTGACCACAACATCACTAAGTTCTTTTACCTCAAACTAAATAATTGGAATGATGTCCCATGAAGGGAGACCATTTGTAGAAAATTTTTGTCCCCCTCTATGTCATTCTGTTGCTGGAGGTTCTTTCAAAATCTTCTACCTACTGATGACATCCTAGAGTTGAAGTTTCTGAGAGGCCCATCTAGATTCTATCTTTGTAAAGTTAATGAGGAGACTATCTCACATTTGTTTTTTGAATGCACCTTCTCACAACAAGTCTAGAGGGAGCTTATAAATCTGTTACTGCTGAATACTCTCAACTTCCATTGGTACAATCTGTTTGAGTGTTGGAGCAGCTGGTGGAAGGACAAAGTAGGTCCCATCCCTTTCATTGTATCCTAGTTCATATTTATTGAAAGAAATCATATCAAATTTGAGGAAGCCTCTGCCAATGTTAGCAAGGTGGCTAGGAACTACGTTTCTTATTTGCTCAAAATAATCAAATATAAGTTCTTCCCTTAGATTTGCACAGTTCAGCCGACAAAATCTAGCAAGCTACCCAAAGTAACTAAAGTAATTTGGAAGACTCCTTCTTTTCCTTGTATCAAAGTAAATACTGATGGCAGCTTCTCACATCTTGGTGCTGGGATAGGAGGAGTGTTCAGAAATCATAAAGGCAAATGTTTACTTTGGTTCTCCACTCCCATCTTGGTTGTAGATGCTTTTGAGGCAGAACTGATTGCTGTCTACTGGGCACTTAAATTGGCTTCCATGTCCAACTAGTGCCACCTGTGGGTGGAGGTTGATTCCACAAACTTACTAATGCTACTAAATGAAAATGACGCACCCTCCTGGCGACTGTCCCAATGGCTACAAAAGATAAACCAGCTCAAAGCTTCCATATTGGTCAATACTTCTTTTATTTACAGGGAAGGAAACTCTCCTGCCAACTAGCTTGCTAAAAAAGGTTAAGCTACAGCTGAAGTCAATGTATCCATTTCTCCCCCTCCCCCTCTTATTTTTCTGCTTGAGGGTGACCTGTTAAAGTCTCCACACCTCAGACTTGTATCAGACTCTTTAATGGAATATAATCCTCTTTCTTCATATATATATATATATATATATATATATATATATATATATACGATTCACCTAGAAGGTATTAACCTTCCAAGGTGAAAAAATGCATTCAAAAGAAGAAACAGTAGGAATTACAAGAGTCTACAGTAAGGCAGACCGAGAAGTTCCCCCTTTAGGAGAAATAAAAGAGGCATGGAAACATTTTTGGTGATGAGAGAAATATCAGTCCGAAGACTAGCTTTGACAAGCCAGTTAGCTGGTCTATTGCCTTCTCTATGAATAAACTGGTTCGTGAGATTGAGATTAGGCCATGAGATGAATCTTATGTATCTACTGCAAAATGTACCAGGGGCTATCTATCTGATTTAAGAGGATGTTGATCAATACCTTGGAGTCAGATTCTACCAATAAATTCTGGATTTTGGCTCTAAAAGCAATATGGATGGCCCAATATATAGCATATGTTTCAGCTTCTAAAGCATCCATTGCATTAGTGGAAGTTTGAAAATTAAGCAGACAGGAGCCCTGAGAGTTTCTAAAGAGCCCACCAATGTCAGCATCTAACTGATAAAAACTTCCATCAGTGTTGACTTTCAGCCATCCTGAATCAGGTTTAAGCCAATAGACCAAATGGTGTTATGGAATGGGCTAACATGTTCTGTTGCCAATTAAGAGCTAATCAGGAAAGGCCTTCCTGATGGAGAGTTTTATCATATAAGCAAGGCAGTTGGAAGCCACCTTTGTAGAAATTTGCTACTTATCTTCATATTTTGGCCTGGTTCCTAGCCATCCAGACAAACCAGGCCACAACACAAGGGATGGTCAAGAGATTAATCTGATGCTAGTCCTTCTAGCAAATGAAAAACTGCTACAATTTAAAGTTAATAGTTTGCACTTGCAATTGGTTGAGCAATGAAGACCACACTTTCTGAGCAAAACTACAGTGGAAGAAAAGGTGATTAGTGGCCTCCTCCTGCTTCTTACAAAGAACACAACAAGAAGGGCCTCTTAACCACTTCAACTTCAAGATTTCATCAATTGGGAGAAAAATAGAAAAAAGTCTCCAGGAGAAAAAAACCGTAGAGGCAAACATAAATTTCCCCCACATTGGTTTCCCCCAAGGGGCCTGCAGTCCATGATGCTCTTGGGAGTAGATGAAGGCAGAAATAGATTGTGATGAGCTCTTTTTAGTGATGAATTTATCTTTTCCAGTATTATCCAGAGGTATTTTAATGATATTTTGAGTAATTGTAATATCCAGGATGTTTTGGAGAGCATGAAGATTTGTTTGTAGGCGCCATCACGAAATCCTATATATAGGCGCCATCACGAAATCATATATATATATATATATATAGTGGATTGAAGCAATAACTTTACCTCGATGTGATGCTTAGAGTGTTTCAAAATTTTTAATTAAAAATATTTTTAAAAGATATGGAATGTCAAGAGTAATCAGTACTGATGAAGGATCTCACTTTAGGAACAAAAGAATTGAGAAGTTGATGGGAAAGTATGATATTATACATAAGATTGCAACAGCTTATAATCCCTAGACTAGTGGTCTAGTAGAAGTATCTAATCATGAAATTAAAATAATTCTAGAGAAAACTGTAAATCCTAATAAAATGGATTGGTTTTTTTGATTGGATACTACATTATGCACTAATTGGATAGGCCTAAGCATCCCTTGAAAATTTTTTCTCATCCAAAGCCTAGTTGGACATAACCGCCGAGCTCGCCGTCGACGGCCTCGAGGGCGCCATCGACGGACCTTCTTAATGAATTAATTTTGGAGTTTCGGGAAAATATCGCCGTCTGCGGGGTCGATGGCGCCGTCAGCGCCCTAGTTCAATTCTTCACATTTAGGCCCTTTTCGCTCCAAATTCGCTCCCTTTTGCATCTTTTTGCTCCAAT